TTGATTATATAAATTAACGTTATTAACGTTTAGTAAGACTATCCACAATGTAGGAGGGTGGGAAAGGTGGAAAAAAGGGAAAATAGGAGGGTTTGGTCACAATGTGAGTGTGGGAAAAGAGGCTAATTGGATGAACACTTTTTTTGGTAAAATCAATTTATAGTTGATTTCAACACTTTATTTTTATGTAATGATAATTATTTTTACAAAATGATAATTAATGAATACGAACATTTCGATATATATATATATTTTTTAATTTGCACATAATTTTTTTTTATCACTAATTAACATCATTAATGAAGAAATAAAAATAATTTATACAAAAAAGTTGTTATATTGATAGTTGAACATAAACATAATTAAAAAGAAATAAAAGCAAACAAATAAACACTACACCTTAAAACAAACACTAAACTATTAAAATAATAACAAAATAAAAAACAAAACAAAAAACAAACTGACGCAGGTCTCACTCCTTCCCTGTTCCCCATCTTTCCCCCAGCTTTTATCTTCTTCTGGTGGGTTTTCTCATCCAAAATTTCATCTTTTTCCATCTTTCCCAACCACATTGTGGGTTATTTCTCCACTTTTTTCTATAAACCACACTGCATTGTAGAGAGTCTAATGGTATGTAATTTTACTATTATTTTTTATAAAGAAACTTTAAATATTGTACAATAACATTATTAAATTTTGTTTAGAAAATTATTAATTGAAAGTTGTTTTAAATTTTGAATTTTTTTAATAAGTTTATATTAATTTGAAAATTTTACTTTAAATCTGATATTCCATTAAATATTAAATAATAATACATTGATTGTCTTTTTGAGGACATATCTCTCTATTCTCTCTCTCTTTTGTCTATTGGCTAGAAAATAAGAGGGTTGTTATTTGTCGTCCATTTATTTATTATTTGTCGCCCATATTTTAAATTAAAATTATAATTTTGACCTCCACACTTTCTTTATATTCTATTCCTACATTTTTTTAACCAATCAAACCCTCCTATTCCTACACTTTCTTTATATTCTATTCTCTCTCTTTATATTATATTCTATATTTATGTTTATTTTATAGTTAATTGATGTTTTTATAATGTTAGCTATTTATGCTTATTTAGAGTTAAAGTAATTGCACATAGTGTTAGTTATGTTTATTTTAGATTTAAATGATTATTAATTTTACAGCTAATAATTTAGATTGAATTTATTTCTTTTAGTTTTATTTTACATAGTTAGAGTTAATTTCGTATATAGTTTTAATCAAGTGATTGTGTTTTGTTGTAGAGCTAACTAGTTTAGAGTTATTTGATTGTGTTTAGTTTTTGTTCGTAAATATAATTTTATTTAATAATTTATATTTAATTAAAATATTTATCATTAAATTGTCATTATTTTGTACAGTTAATTAAATTATTGCGCTTAGTTTTATTTTGTAGAGTGAATTTATTCTAGTATTAATTGATTCATTATTTAGTTGTGTTGCATCATATAATTTGTCTTTAACGAGTTGTAAAACCATAATTGCAGGTATACAAGGCTTGCAACATAGAAATAATAGACGATTACACAAACTATTTCCTCAATGGCGTCCAATATTCCAATTTCGAAGATGCTATAACAGTGACAAAAAAACATCGTGATGTCTCTTGGTTTCTTTCTAATTAAGGGCTCGATAAAGCCACATGAGTTGTGTAACAAAAGAAAGCTAGGTATGTGTTATATGTATTGCAACAGATGCAGTAGAGAGAGGAAGTCATACAAGCCAGATTTGACCAAGGAAAGTCGTGGCAATACAGGTTCAAAAGGCACTAATTGGATGTTCAAGGTTAAAATCAAAGAATAACTTGTTGATCCAAATGCTCTTAATGGACCGACATTCTGGGAGATACAAGAAGTGATTGAAATAGAAACCGGTTTGAGGCGATGGTATCACAATCATGAGAAGATGCTTTATCTGGAGGGCCACAGTCAGATGAAGAAATTCAGTCAGGGGGATAAAGAATCTCTCAAGCAAATGAGAGATGCTGGGATATCTCCAGCGAAACAGAAGCATAGAATGAACATGCAAACGGGTGATAAAGGGGGATCACACCAACATGCAATTTTATAACCTCGGGTCCAAGTCTAGGAGAGACGACATGAGCGACATGAATGCACTCCAGTATGCGTTTGCAAGCAGCTGAACGTGAGAATTATCATATAGAGGTTATGAAAGACGATAACGACGTGCTAACCCATCTTTTTTTGCCCATCCGACTTCCATCCCGATGTTGAAGGCTTGGCCGTACGTGATTCTGATCGACCCAACCTATAAGACCAATGCGTATAAAATGTTGTGGGTGGAGGTCGTAGGTGCTACTCCCGCTGGGAAGAATTTCAACATATGTTGTGCTCTCATGAAGGAGGAGACAAAAGAGGTGCATCATTGCATCATTGGTTGTTGGTGTGCATAAAACAATTGTTCGATCCACGCGTGCCCACTGCCATCATCACTGACCATGAAGGTGGACTACTTGCTACAGTTTTTGGTGTCTTCCCCTACACCCCTTATTTGTTATGTGTTTGGCACATCAACACTAATGTGCAGGCGAAGTTTCTGGAAATATTAGGGAAGGATAATATGGATTTGGTCAACGAGGCTTACAATGAAGGTTGGTGTCCTTTGCTTTATTATTGGTCCGAGCAAGGTGTGTTGGCCGCTTTAGGGCGAGATGAAGCGATGACGATCCACGTCTATTGCAGTACATACAGCAAGTGTGGTGGCCGCATAGAGAGAAGTGAGCAGTTTGTCATACCAAACAAGTGTTTCATATAGGAAATACGAGCACAAACAGGGTTGAGTCATCACATTCATCATTGAAAACTTTCCTTCACAACTCATGGGAGTCTATAGACACTGTATGGAAAGGAAACCACCATAATATTACTAACCTACTTAGGGAGGTTATGATGATGTTGGAAAAATCTCGACGGGAAACCCTTTCAGCAGCTAATGGTACACCCTTCACATACTTGAGGAGGAATGTCGGTACACATGCAATTTTTACTAATGAAGGAGGTTGAAGAAAATTTGGCTGCCCATTTGGAAAAAAACGAGAACTCCCGATGTGCATGTTATTTCTCTGTGACACATGGCTTAAAGTGTGGATGTCAAATTATGGATTGTAGGGCACGAGACATAGAGATATACCCGGGCGATCTTCATCTATTTTGGTAGACACTGCATACGAGCACCCACCCAATGCACATGAGTACGTGCCCCACGAGGATGAAGTTAAACGTCACCTTTACGATTTGGCTGATGAGGCTATACGCAGAGGGCTAGGGGCAACAAAAAAAAGCAGCAAAGAACGTGTTTCGCGGACTCCACACAGCGAAAGACAATATTCACGAGCCAGAAGTGAACGAAACTAGGAGGGGACGACCAAGCAAAAAAACAACTGAAAGATATAAAGGTTGGTTTGAGAAGATACTGCGTGGTAAGAAGAAAAACATGAAAAACAAGCCAAGGAGCACAACGACGGGGTCTACAAGGTCAATGAAGACCAAGTCCACGGGGACTCAGTCAGACGAGTACCCGTTAGACGGTCAGGCATTTGATGATCATGATGATCCCGATGACAACAACAAATACAACGGTCCTAATATAGGTACACAAAAGCAAACCATAAGTGATGTTATTTATCTGATGTTATGTTGAATTTCTGTTGATTTTCTATCCATGATGTAAATATCCCTGGATCCAGCAGCCAATTCGAATACGGACACTTGCATCTGCTTCCTGTCTTCGTTCGAGACCTTGTCATTGTCGTCCACGACCACGTGCCAGACGGTCATTGTGGGTTTCGTGCACTTAGTTTTGAATTATATGGTAATCAAGATGGGTTCCCAGAGGTGAGGTGAGTCATCGCTGAAGAAATCTGTCAGCGCGATTGGCAATGCGCTAACATGTATGGCGTGGATGTGGTTGCGGCAATCATTCGCATCGACATCACTACTACAAAGGCAACAACCAGACATCTCTAGATGATGGGTGTGGATCTATTCGTATTTTCCACGATCTTTTTAACTTGGTTGTTGTCATGTACTGCAATATCCTCCACCCCACGTCATTTACGGACAATTGTACCATCCTGCTAGTGGGCAACCTATTTGGGGCAACCGGTCCTAGATGAGTCTTTATTGTGGGAGGGTGGCAGGCAAGATAGCGTCATTGGATGTGATAAATATTTCCAGCATTTTAGTCAACTGTAGTTAGATCTTGGGGGTGGTCAGTCAAGTGGTCCATGGTGCACATCTAAGAGGGTCCCAAAAAAATAAACTTGTAATCAAGAGAGAGCCCGATGTACCATGATTAAATAATAAAAACATCAAGTTATCTCAGGTTGCTTACGTCAAAAGAAAACATGTTGTTTTTACTACATAATATAATAAAAACATCCCAAGTACAACAAAAACACATAAGTCATAGTCAGATACATGGAATAATAAAAATCGTAGGAGAACAACTGAATAACAGAAGTCATAGTAAAATGTCCAAAAAACAACAAACGACACTCATAAATAGTCACATAACAAACATCAAACTACTGTGGAGGTGGTAGAAAACCCGACCTCCCCCTATACTCGGACCACATGTTCCGAACTCCATGACATAAGTCATAGTACTCTTCGGACCTAGCATGCCACTCCTCCCTGCTACTCATAGCACCATCCATCACGCGAGTGCCTAAGGTACCACTCTAGGTAGTCGTTAGTAACCTCCCATGCCTACGTCGTACCAGAGTACAAAAAAGTCCAGATGCACACTATGTCCCCCAGGTTGTTCCACCATGAATCATAAACAGAGTGGTAGCTAACATAGTATCCAATCGTGGAAGCGAGTCGACTCACAACAAGCGGGCGCTCTGGCTGAAACGGGTACCCTCTGCACGTAGCCTAAATGTCAGAGGCATCTAGTGGGATCATATGGCTCTACTATCTCAGAAAATCTAATTAGGCCCTGATACAAGGTATGCTCACACTCAAATGAGGAGGCAGACCATAAGGAGTCCAAACAACCTGCTGTGGGGTCAAACTGTCAATCGTCTGACGATAATAAGACAACAGTAGTGTATTCTTCTTCTTTGTCAAATGAGGTGAGATACCGCGCCACTTGAGTGTGCCTGCCTCCCGCTGCTCCAACTGTCGTGGCTCCAATCGACTAGGCCTCAAGGTAGGAAAGTGGTCGTAAATCCAACACTGTAGTAAAGTAAGACAACCGGCCACTCCCTTAGCCTGCGCCCGCGAGGCAAAACCAAGCTGCCTGTACAGATAAGCAAGTGTTCCAGCCTCCCACGTATACTCTCTCTGCATCTCCGGCCTCTTCACAAATAAGTTGACAACAGAAGAAACACGGTCCTTACTCTTATTTACGAATAGTATGGACCCCAACAGCAAAAGAAGGTAACACTGAGCCTCTCTAGCTAGCAGACCAACCACGTGAAAATGAGCCAAAGCATCCACACCCAACAAACCATCCCCTCTGTACCACTTAGAATATATAGAAACCTCTCCAACCTGCGTCCCTTAGCCCCATTCCGCACTCGTCATGCCCAATAGCGCTCGCATGTCATCCTCCAGTGATATCTTCTCCAACTGTCTCAGATCCGCTGCCATCGCCTTTCCCTCAACCGAAATGCCAAGGATGTGCACCACGTCGTGAAGGAGGATCGTCATCTCTCCAAACGGCATGTGGAAGGTGTTGGTATCCAGCTGGCACCTCTCCACAAATGCCAATATGAGAGCAGTGTCTAGTTTGTTTTGAAAGGTGATATCTAAGAGGTGAGCAAGGTCCCATATCTCTATGGTACTCCTAGCGCGAGAATCTGAGATCACGTGATTGTGTAGAATGTGCTGAAGCGTTGAACTCATATAGTAGAAAGTGATCACCCCTCTATCAGCCTGCCTCATGTAAATAAGGTGGACAACATGCCCAAGAAAGCTACAGAGCAAACTTGGATCACTCAGCCCTCTAGCACACGGTCCTCTAAGCTCCCACCCCTCTCCCACATCAGCATCACCCATCCGACCCTCACCGGCCTATGGAGCTCTGTAGAAATGCCCCACATGGTCTCTATTAATCCTAGTAATGGCATGTGATGATCAGCTGATGACACCTCTATCTCTAATCAGACTGCCTCTTGGAATGTGATCCTCAACAACATCCACCTCATACTACTCAGACTCGTCGTCAATCTTGTCCGAAGGCTCCAACGGTGAAGTATGTTGATCTCTCGTCCCAAAGTTGTGACTAGAACGACTTCCACTGCCAACCATACTAGGCAACTTAAAATCAAAATGAGGAAAGCCAACTGCCATCAATCTCATCGGTGGCTCTAGCTGATGTGGATGTGGCTCATACTCAAGCTGACTGCTCCCCCGACCTATCTCTACGCTTTGACTTCTTATTTCTCTTACTCATACTAATGTTATGCCCATTGAATCTAGTCAATTTCTTTCTTGTTCCTCCAGCTTCACCAGTTGACGGCATCTCTAAACATAGTAAATAATTATATATTAATCTCTTATAATAAAGTATTTTTGAGCAATTTGTTCACAATTTTTTTATTATAGATTAATTATGATACATACAACTTATTAACTAGTTAATTTAGTTAGATAGTTATTTTACTAAATATGATAGATAGTTATTTAACTAATTATTTCAAATTACTCAATTACTTAACTAAAATAGGATAGATAGTTATTTAACTATATTAATTAACTAAAAATTATTTAGACCTTATTTAATTCAATATGATAGATAATTATTCAACCTCTTTAATCCTTAGGACATCACAACTCTCCTTCCTTCACTGTTCCTGCACTTTCTTGCTGAAAGTGAGTTCTGATTCTGTGGAGTTAATCTGTTGTCTAGATTCTTCCTCATAAAGTTTCGAAATGCCTTTAAGTTTCACACTTTTTTTCCTCGCTACTCGAGCAAAGACAATGCTATCATCATAAAAAATTAGATGTGATACTTAAGGTTCCCTCCTGCTAACCTTTATCCCATGTATATCCTTATTTACTTAAGTTCTTTTCATTAGATCGGAGAAGCCTCCTATACATAGAAAAAATAGATAGGGTGACAAAGGATTTCCTTGTCGAAGCCCTCTTGATAGTTCAAATTCCAAGCTTCTATGCCCATTCACCATCACAAAATAAGTTACAGTAGGTATGCACATCATGATTAGCCCTATCCACCTCTAATCAAACCCCAACTTCCTCATTACTCTCTCAAGAAAACCCCATTCCACCATATCGTAGGCTTTCACCATATCCAGCTTAGCTGTAACGAACCCTTTTTAACATTACTACACCTTTTCATGTGGTTAAAATATTCAAATGTCGTGATAATGTTATATGTTATCGTCCGTCTCGGAACGAAAATACTCTATATTTCTGAATAATCCCTGGCAAAACCAGCTTAAGCCTATTGACGAGTACTTTCGAAACAATCTTATAGATTACTCTGTATAGACTTATTGGCCTAAAATCCTTGGGCTCCAGTGGCTTCTTGACCTTAGGAATAAAAACTATGAGAGTATGATTGATCTCTTTAGGCAAGAAACCATCCTCCAGAATTTCTAGAATTTCTTTGGTGATTTTACGCCCTAACATATCCCAGTTTTTTGGGAAGAAACCAGCTGAAAATTCGTCGGATCCTGGGACCTTTGTTGGGCACATATGAAAGAGAGCTCTTTCAATTTCATCCGCTGTGAATGGCTTAAGCAGCAACTAATTCATGTCCTCCATCACTTTCCTCTCAACAACCTCTACAACTCTGTTTGTAACAGCCGCTGGCCCTTTTTTGAATAAATCCTGAAAGTAGTTCCTATACACAACATAACTTCCTCGTGTCCTTTGAAGACTATGCCATCAGCATCCCTTAAGACTCTAATCATATTTCTTTTCCTTCTTGTTGTAGCTTTTGCATGGAAAAACTTCATATTCTTGTCCCCATCTTTCATGCAATCTACCTGGGACCTTTGCTTCCATTTACACTCTTTTTTCCACAATAAATTAGTTTTTTCAGTTAGAAGAGCTCTTCGTTGTACCTGAACAACATCTGTTTTTGGGCTCCTTCATAACTTTCTAGTAATTTTTTATTTTTTCAGCCTTCTCCTTAAACTCCCAAACTTTTCCTTACTCCACCATATAAGTTCCGTTTCACAATCTTTCATAAGATCACAAACACCATTTCCTTCCCCATACTGCCACACTTTCTCAATAACTTGTTTAAACTCACTATCCTTTAACCAAAAGGATTCAACTCTGAAGCTCTACCCCCACCTTATATCTTCATCCTCGTAACCGTTAGTGTTAAGCATAATAAGATAGTGGTCTGACCCTTCCCATTCAATATGTGTGACCTTCCAGAGATTAAAATTTGTTTCCATTCTAGAGTAGCCACACATCTATCCAGTTTTCCTCCTATATACTTACCTTCTGCTATGTTGTTCTTCCAGGTGAACGGATAATCTTCAAACTCGCAATTAAGAAGCCCACAAAACTCAAGGGACTCCCTGAATGCCTCCACTAAGCTTATAATCTTCTTCGGGTTGTCTACGGATGACTGAATGTTGCATTACTATAATTTTTTTTTGTATCTGTAGTCCTCTCTTATTGTCCATTGTTTCCCAACTGTAAGTATAAGGTAAATGTCTCATCGGGTTGAACTTTTTCCAGAAGTAATCAACCGTTTGTATGAAGTGGTGCACTAATTTTCGAAATCAGTTAACTTATTATAGAAAACAAAATGCATATTGACAAGATGATCCATTGGTTATCTTAATCGATCAACCTTTTTCTTCAAACCATGGAAATCACCATAGCCCCGTATAGGCTGTTAGTCGGTGTGGTTAACCACGACCAAAATTAGCCCAACACCGACAACCAAAGCTGAGACCGACAGAGTCTTTGGTTAATCGCAAACCGCAACCGACAATTTCGGTTTAGGGTTGCAGTTAGCCGAAACCAGCGGGATTGCGAGGTGAGCAAGGATGAAGACAGGTGGTGCGACGATGCCGACGACAGACGATGGCGAGATGACTGACGATGGAAACGACGGTCTATGATTACTAGGTCTGGGATCTGGAGAACGAAGGTGGCGGTAGAGATGCCGGGCAGGGCGTTGATGATGGCTGGCGGTGGGGAGGCTGGGGAGTGTTAGGGTTCGGAACTCGGGAGGGAAGCGCCAAGCGGGTTTGCGTCTTCTCCCGCTTGCAAGTAATTAACAATTTAGGGTTTCCTTATCCCCAGTCTTCAGGTTGTTTTGGGGAAACCTAACACGTTTGAAGGGTGACTCACTCCTACTGTCACCCTAGAAAATGGCCAAGTATAACCACTTTCTAAAGCGTAGTATAGCGGGTCGGGTTTTAATGTCAACCCGGGTCCTAGATGTGATGACTACTCGGTGAATTCTTGTTATTTAGGAGTGAACTTTTAGTGAAACTCAAGCAAACAAAACACAAAGCAAGTAAACGGTTTGTTGTCAAGTCAAGAGAGGTCACCCGGATATGGTTTCCCCCTAGACTGCAGTTAAGTCGGATTGCATTTTACCAAGTTCAGCTTTCATGAAAGTTATACTGCGGAAGGTTCTCAATTAGCCTGAAGTCTCGACTAAAGGTCTCCAGACCCTCTCAATCTGAGTCTCTAGCGGGCGACTAGCCTCCACCGGAGTAAACAGATTGAGGCCCTAATGAACCAACCCTCCACTACCGAATTGACTTCGGTACAGAATAGCGAATTGGCTCCTCGACTAAAGTCACCAATTCGCCACCTTCGATTAAGGGTGCTCTATCAACCTAGGCAGATATTCTCATTCTAGGTTAAAGCAGAAACAACAGGAATTTGATCAGGATTCAAGTCATTCAATCATTCAAACCTCAATCGAATAAAATCAATTCACAAACTCTGTACTTGGGTTCATACAATCAGACCTAGCATACAAATCTAGGGTTCTCCATACCTAGATGAATGGGGAAACTACTCCATAGAGAAAGAAGCAAAAGCAGATTCAGACACGGAAATCATACTGTGAAGTTGGATTCCTGCTCCTGGACGTTTAATCGCACTTCTCCAAGCTCAAGACGGGCTCCAATGGTGTTGAAGATCGATCTATGGCGCTTGAGAACTCTGGTTCGTCGCTTTCTCTCTCTAGGTATCGGTTTCTCTCTCAAAAACTCGGAACCCCCCTCTTTTGGCTGAAAATCTGCCTAAAAGGGCATCATTGGCCAAAGCACTGTCGAGGGCACGGCCGTGCTTTGCCTCAGCCCGCCCGTGCTTTGGCTAGGGTTAATTACACGGCCACATGTTGGTGAAAACACGGCCGTGCTTTAGGGAGAACACGGCCGTGCTTTGGGAAAACACGCCCGTGCTTTGTCTCGGCCCCGCCCGTGTAATCAGCTCATGTCTGCCAAACTCGGATTTTCTCTCGGCAGTAAAAGCACGGTCACAGAACACGGCCGTGTTTTGAAGGCCTCCTGCCCGTGTTTTTACTTCCGAACCTG